GCCATTTCTGAGTTTCCCTGGGCCTATGTTTCAAAACAAGGGTAGGTGCTCAGCTTTTGATATGGAAATCATTTCATTCTCATGCAAATAAAAGTCATTTTCACAGCAAAGGTTGTGTACCTAGCCTCATTATGCATGAAAGTTATGGTTTGTGGAATTCGGAAGTGGCCTATTCCAACAACTCTCACTATCTCTAAGGCCAAGTACAAAATCTTTCTTATGAAAGTTTTATTTGCATGAGAATGAAAAATGAGTTACATATCAGAGCATGACTTTGCATTATGCCTACTTTTAAGCAGTGGCCTACATACGACAACTCAAAAATGACCTAATTAGCTATAATGTATATTATCAGCAACAGTAAACATTTGGTTATTTCCTTTACTGATGGGTTCGGATTTAGCCAAAAAGGCATTTAACAGTTATTATTGAAATCAGCTGTAAATACAAACACAGTTTCTTAACTGTCTTAATGTCTCATGATGATTTGATCAGTCTACATTGTACATGTATTCTCTTGTTTCCTCAGCAAATGCTTCAGAACATGCCACCACAAGGAAACAGTTTAACAGACATCTGTCAGAATTTGGTCAGATCCAGGTACAATGTTGCATATGATAAGGAAAGTAAGGGGAAAAATAATTTTCTCATCTCCTAAAATGATTCTAAGACTTTAGGAAGGGTTGGGGTCTGCTTTACTATCTCTCGGTTTTTTTTGTTCCCACAAATTAAAATGTTTCCAAATTCCAGTTTGACAGTTTCAGCCACAGGTATGAATCTTTGGTCTCCACAGCTGACTCACATCTGTGGCGATAAACTGTCATCTTTGAATTTTAAGAAATTCAAGAAGAAATATTTATAATCACACCAGCTTCTTCAAAAGTTAAACATAAGAGTTTTTTCAACACTTTTGTTATAATTTAAGTTTTAAAGTGTTAAATAAATTTTAATTTAAATTCTTAGGAGAAGTTTGCAAACATGACACTGAAGCAGTACACTGTAGAATCCATGTCTTATCTTACGACTGGAATTCTGGATAGTGGAGAGGAAGATGCATCAGTAGAGGCCGCCATGTGTAAGGTTAGTTATTGTGGATCCTTGTACATTTCTGTTAAACTGCCCACATACCCCTCCCCTAAGCCAACGTTTTGCCTTAAGTGAAAAGTAAGTGTTAATGTTAGCTTAGGGGAGGGGTAGGGGAGCAGTTTCCCAGAAAGACGTACTGATCCGTTATTGTTAGCATAGGGAAACTGTGGCACTTAATTATTTGTCGATGTCTTTCTTGACTATAATAGCTCACAAACTCTAAGAAATGTGATATTATGTTTTTGAAAGCTTAAAATTGATTTTATTGTATCATCATGATGGCGGATTCCAGTGATGGTAGACTTGCATGTACCATAACTAGGAATTGTTTAAATCTATATTAATAAGAAAGTTTATACAGCATCATTTTATCAAGATTGATAGAGTTTATATTGAAAAGCACCAACAGGCTGTATGTTTAAAAGCAGGGATAAAGCAGGGATCTCCTCTGAAAATCTCAGCAGAGCTTGCTGAGGTCTCCTGCTCATGTATACAGGACAATTGTACCACCAAAACGTTAATATTTGATTAAGTTTACAATGATTAATGAATAAAGGTTATGAAGATACAAGTAGAAATCGGCCTAAGTGACCGTTTATTATTATTATTATTATTATTATTTTGCTCAGAAATTGCTAATTTTTAGCATAAAGGCCTTTTTTGTGTCAATCAAAAAGATTTGCTGAGATTTGAACCTTCACTATGGCCGACTCCACACGTGTAATATCCACTGTGAGGGCAAGTGCTGCATAACAACAGAAAGAATTGCTCGGTATATAGCAGATTACACATTCATATGTGAGCCAAGTTTTTCTAAGATATTCTAGCCTCACCAGTTCTGTTTCTTTGCAGGTTTATGGATCAGAAGGGCTGTGGAGCGGAGTTAATGATGCCCTGCAGATATTAGGAGGTACAGTGTACGTTATGGGGGTGGGGTAAGGAGTGAACATTGCCTCCTCTCTCCCTCTCCTCCTTTTTTTTTTTGCTCTCTGATGTTGCCCTGCATTCGGCCACTACCATAAATGATCGATTATAAGCACTGTGGTGCTTATTTCGTTTTCCCTGTTAAAGAGGCAGCGCTTATCCGGGAGCAGTGCTTATTTCAACTACGGGTAAAACACTGAGGGGAATATAGAGTGAATTAAGTGAGGTGTATGTGTACTAGGTATGCGCAATATTTTTTAATATTTTAAAACATTATGTACACCTCAAACAGTCATATGAACCTGGTCTCGAGAGTTTCCCTACATTAGAACTCACAAGTGATCGGTCTAATTTCTCGAGCAATATGGTTTTGATATGCCTCTATATCAAGCGCCAAAACACAGCAAAACAAAAGTGGGGCATTTACTTGTAAATGCCCAGATTAGAGCCATGGTGCTTAATCGAGAGTGGGGCTTGTTAAATTATTCTCGTTGAAGATGCGGTGCTTATGCAAGAGAGGTGCTTATTCAAGTAGCGTGCTTAATCGATCATTTGTGGTATCCAAATTCCTGGACAAAGCTAGAAAGTGCAGTTGGCTAAAGTCAAACTTCAAGAAGATAAAACTGTGAGTGGTATGCAAAAAGTGTACATGGTAAAATAATACTTTGGATTCTAATTCTTTTGATGAATAACCCCTGTGTTTGTTGTTACAGGACTAGGGTACATGAGGGAATATCCGTATGAGAGAGTTCTTAGAGATTCACGAATCTTGCTAATTTTTGAGGTGAGTTATGAATGAAAAATAAAAATGAAAAGCAGTTTTGTAGTAAATAGGAAGCTATCAGTTCACGTGGTTTCTTTATGCCTTACTGGCTTAAGTTAATAATATCATCCATTCAAATTTCATTTACAGGGCACCAACGAAATCTTAAGAATGTACATAGCTTTGACTGGAATGCAGCATGCTGGGAAGCAATATCAGGAAATGTTAAAGTAAATACTTGTATTCTGGGTAGAACGTATTCCGTAGAGCGCTCAATTCATTTAATTGAAGAGCATTGACTATTAATAATCACAGGAGTTCAGGCTTCAGGAGTAATCATTGATCGTTTATTGCGACAGTGCTGTTTCGTATGGTCCGAAATTGTAGGACCACACTCATCAGGCAACTTCAACGATTGACCGTTAAAATTAAAAGCTGGCAGTAAATATAGGGATGCGTTAAGAGATAGTATCTAGGTAACAGATGCATTGTGTCTTAGTTACGTTACTCTAGAGTTCTGAAGTACATATCTGTTTCTGTGAAATGTTAAAGTATGTATATAGCCTTCGTAACTCAAAAGAGAAAGGGTGGGGTGGGAGAAGGAAGGAGACCTTGCAACTACGTCTCTTGATTATGAATATCTGCATCGAAAAAGTCGATGTAAAATGCTGTTTGGCGGAGATGACATTAGTAATGATCTTCAGGTGTTTTTCTACGTTTGTTTACATTCTCGCTCGTTTCCCCTTTGCGCTGATTGGCAGAAATCTGACAGCTAAATTGATGGGTAGCCACAGAGGAATTGGAGGTAGAATTCAAATTCAAGAGACGTAGTTGCAAGCTCTCCTTCCTTTTCCCGCCCCGCCGCCAGAGCGCCCCGGAGAGCTTGCTCGCAGGCTAGAGTTGCCACAAGCCTCAGTTTCAAAGCGAGGCTAAGTGCAAAGCCGTTTTTACGAAGATGAGTTTTTATTCTGATGCAAATACAACTCTTTTTCACTAGAAAAGTTTTGCACTTAGCCTCGTTTTGAAAGTGAGAGGTTTTAGAACTCAGAAATGGCGTGTTTTAATCCGTTTGATAGCCTGGTGAATAGCTGACAGGATTGGAATGAGTGGACGTGCTACAACACAGTATTAAAGTACCGTAAAATTCCGAAAATAAGCCCCTCCAAATATAAGCCCCCTAAACCGGTAGCGCAAAAAACCCTCCGTGAAATCGCCCCTCCAAATATAAGCCCTCCGGGGGCTTGTATTTGGAAAATTGCCCTCAAATACAAAGTAAAACAAAGCAAAAATGGTAAATTTACTTCCAGCTATAAGGCTAGCCCAATCGATTTTGAAACGCAAATTTCCCTCCGAATATAAGCCCCTCCAAAAATAAGCCCCTCAAAAAGGGCCTTTGAAAAATATAAGCCCCGGAGCTTATTTTCGGAATTTTACGGTATTTTACCAAAATGGAAATAATGAGAGACACTGCCTTTGTAAAGAGGAAAACTAATACTAAGTTTCTGTGTCTAAAGATAATGTGTATTCATAGTTTAGTGAAAATACAAGCATTCCGGATAGTTAAAACTTCAGTATACTTGGCCACTTCATGTACATCTAATTGAATAATTAGAGCCCCATTGTGTTAAAGTGATGTTAAACTAGAAGCTACTAGACGATTCACAACGACGATTTTTAGTGCAACCCAATGTTGCAACATTATTGCGACATTACTTCAATGGTTGCAACATTGTTGCATCATTGCAACGCTGTGTTGCGCTAAAAATGGCCGTTACGAATCGTCCGTGTAACATCACCTTTACGGCTTTATACCTAGCAAGTTCACAAGTCACATGTAAATAAAGTAGCCTAAAGTGGCCGGGTATTCCAAACGTAGACATTCAACGTTTTGATGTGCATGTCCCCAAAACTACTGCCAAGTCTTTAAGAGTCTCTAACAATGCTTGTAGGCTAATGTCAGATCAATATTATTTCTTTTCATAGATTTTTGAAGAATCCTTTTTCAAATTCAGAATTTATCGTGGACTTTGCGTCAAAAAGGCTTCTATACTTCCTGGGGTTAAAAGGAAACTTGCAGGGAATTGCCAGCGTTGCCCATCCACTTTTGGCGGTGAGTCCTTTCCTTTCGCTTTTAATCTCGTCTCATTTCCTTTTTCGAGTAATTCCATTTCGATGAAGCCTATTTGAACATACCTTCTGTCAGTGTCATGTGATCGAAACTCGGCACTCTGATTAGCTTAAAAGCGTACGTGTTTGGTTCATGATCATCACGTGGTTGAAAACTGCCGCTCTGATTGGATGTTTTGCTCACTGAATTGGGACCTCTAAAAACTACCACTAAGCGTAACTTTAAAAGACCAAAGGAGATGACATTACAGAGTTGCCGAAATAATTTTGATTTTGGCTTCAACCCTTGCAAACTTCTCTGAAGTTTAAGGACTTAGATTCATTGCTGATAAACTGTCTTTCGTCCTCATTGTCGTGTATATCGGAATTAAACAACGATTTTTGTCCCTCTACGGAAAATTTCCCCTTACTTATTAGGTTAACAAGTTTTTACGGTACATTACAACCTTATAAAGTGACTGTCGTGCCTTATGGTCAATCTAACATCCATTCATTTATGTAACATTTATGGCAGGATAGCGCAAAAAAGCTGGAAGAAAATGTTGCTGATTTTGGCAGAATATCAGAAACTATGCTCACCAAATACGGAAAGGTACTACACTCTGCAATTTATCTACATTACAAAATATGTTTTTATCTTAAATATTTTTTGGTATTAACGGACTTTTTTAGAACGCTTTTTAAAAAGTCAAACTGTTGTAGAGCTGATCTCCACAACTGAAACAATCTAGAAAGAGCTCAAAAAGAGATGTACATTTTTTTATAGTCTTTTGATATAATTCACACAACAATCGTTGTACCAGAGGCATTAAGTCGGTTTTTTTTCGTGTTCAAGTTACTCTTATATGCTAAGCATGACCAATGGTTGTCTAAATGAAATCGTAGGCTACAAAAATTTTCAGGCTTCGCTTTGCAAATGTGTAGACTACGAGCAGTCTCTCTTTTTTCTTGGTCCATCGAGCAATACGCGTGAGACACGCAAATGACCATATGCGTGAATGAAGGAGCCAACCTCCCTCGTTTCTCGCGATAAGCCGCTCGACGTTCGTGCGCGCTTGCACTCCCGTCACTAAATCTGAAAAAAAGAGAGACTGCTCGCAGTCTACAAATGTGTAGTAAATTTGAATGCTAAGTTTACAGTAGTGAACGGGCCGGCATAACGTATCTAAGAGAAGCCTCTAACATTCTTTTCTGTGGTGTTCCGCTTTTTTAGAACATTATCGAGGAGCAGCTTCTGTTGAAGCGAATGGCTGATGCCTGCATCAACTTGTTTGCCATGACGGCTGTGATTTCCAGAGCAACGCGATCCATAAACCAAGGTCTATCAAGTGCCAGTCATGAGGTGAGTAATGGGTAGTGTATTTAATCCATTCGCCCCTGAACCGCCCGTAACCGCCCGTGCGGATACAGGTCCTTTCTCCCGCTTGTGACGTCATCAGTTTTAACGTTCAAGGACAACTTTGTCTGCTGAATTGTGCAGGGTGAAGAGATCGTTCAAACCATACCAGGATGAGCACGATTCAGTCAAGGAGACCGGAGAAAAAGGCAAAAACCATGTAACATTGACCCGAAAATTTCCTTAAAAATCTTGTTTCACTATCCACCTGCCTTTCCGTTCATTTAATCCTAAGATCCTAAAAGGTTTCCCGAAGACTTTTTCCCTTTCCGTTCATTTAATGCTAAGATCCTAAAAGGTTTTCCAAAGACTTTTCGCACCAAAACGAAGCCTACCAATTAAAAAGAAAAAAATGAGGCAAGAAAAGCGAAAGAAGAGGGGAAGAGAGAAAGCCAAAAAAAAAGAATTCAAGACTGCTGTGTCACTTTTAAACCCAAAAAATTTTGCTTTCGGCGCATGCGCATTGCCCGAACTTTGCAAGCTGATATTTTGCATTTGGGTCAGAACGCCGTGAAATGTACGACCTGCAAACAGCTTGTGGTAAGTTTTATAGCCAGACAATGACTAGAAAACCGCTCGACTAGCTTCAAAACGCATTTTTCGGCAAAATTCCCAGGGGCGAATGGGTTTAGACTTATGGCCGTTGTAGAGAGGTGACCGTTAGTGGAGGTGCGACTGTTTACCCAGGAAAGGGTAGGAATTACCGTAAAATTCCGAAAATTAACCCGTCCAAATATAAGCCCCCCAAACCGGTAACGCAAAATCGCCCCTCCAAATATAAGCCCCCCCGGGGGCTTGTACTTGGAAAATTGCCCTCAAATACAAAGGAAAACAAAACAAAAACGGTAAATTTATTCCAAATACAAAGCTAGCTCAATCGATTTTGAAACGCAGATTTCTCTCCGTAGATAAGCCCCTCCAAAAATAAGCCCCTCAAAAAGGGCCTTTGAAATATATCAGCCCCGGAGCTTATCTGCGGAATTTTACGGTATTTTGTGGGGGGTTTGCTATATGGATTTCCCAGCGGATTTTTAATTTATATGTTTATTCTTTTCCTTCAATAGGTTCTCCTTACAAATACAATATGCACTAATAAGTTTAACATGAACAATGCTCTCTTCAAAGAAGTTAAATCAGGTTAGAAAATTTTTCGTTTTTTTATTGATCGCTTTATTCTAACATCACTTGCCGCAGACTTACGCAGACTGGTTATTATTTGTACAGTTGCTTCTCTCCCAGTCTTCATAATTATTAGTGGGCTCGTTTCTGGCTCTGCCAACCCTTAAGCTAAGTTCACACTTTACCGGATAGCTTTTCCTGCCGACACGAAAAGCTATCCGGTATAATATGAAAACCAATCCGATATATGACCTTCCAATTTCAAGATCGTCGTGGCGCAACTTCGCCTCGTTACAGAGATGGCGCCGAAATCACCGTTGTCAGACGGGACTGAACAGAAGCCCCATCCGGTAGGAGTTTCGTGACGGCGCAACAGATATTAGTCTGCTACGCAACCGTTTTTAGTGTCGTCACGCAACGCTCCTCCCATCACAACACTAAACACGGCTGTGGCTGTATAACCTGAGATCAGGCGTTATTACTTTTTTTTGCTTCTTTGGCTCGAGAGGGAAAAAAATAACGCCTGGTACATTCATTTAACAAGCCGTCAACCACCCCCTAATTTACATAATCTAACGTCTGCATGACCTGTCATGTTATTAGCCAATAAGCGTTTACCATACAGGAATCAAATTTTGGCGCGAATAATGTCTCTTTTGAAATCAATTTTAGGGAAAAGAAGATTTTTAAGTACGTTCATGTTCAGATGGCGCGTCGATTCCTAAAAAAAATTTAAATGTGTTGTTTTTGTGATGAAATACTGCTAGCAGGAGCTGCCGTACCTTTATTTAACAGCTACAAATAATAAAAAATTTACTGGTTAAAGCTCGTTGACTTCGTTCTGTGCCGAAAGCAGTGAAAAAAGAAAATTACGCTGAAGCACCTTATTTCACGAACTGAAAAGTGTTGTGAAAGCGAAGATCGCTCAGAATAATTCCCAGATTTCTGAAGGAGGAATTACAGTCAAACCAGGTCAAGATTCCATTCATGAATTGATTATTTGAAAAGTGAACCCGTTTGTCGCTTCTGTAACTTGTAGCCGGTATCAAATTGCATTCAAATGATCGGTGAAGTTTTGACTGCAACTTTTTAGTATACGATGGAATGGAAGATATTTCAATGGATGAAACTTCTATTTAGGCATTCTTCAAATTCAAGAAAACTGAGCCGGCAGAAATAGACCATTTTACAGTTGTGAGCTTAGTATCCTAGCCTTTGAGTAGACGTGAGGCTGAGATTGACCATGTTTTGATACAAACCTCTACCTTTTCTTATGGAAATTATTCTAAAAAATTCGTATTTAGCATAAGAAAAACCTGATTTACATAATAAAGCAAGAAGGTTTGTATCAAAACAAGGTCAACTCCAGCCTCGTTTTCACTTGAAACTGTAAAATGGGCTATTTCATAACGAACTCGCGTGTGTATTCACTGCTCATTACGCAAGCAAAAATGCAGACTGAAATCAACAACAACTAACGGATGGCGAGATTTTGGCCAATCGGAACAGCGCAAATCATCCGTATTGTTTCCTATCCAATCAGAAAAAAGTCCAGATTCTGGCTTTTTTTCATGTGATCCCGTGAGAGACATAAAGGGATAATAGGGAGAGGGCATGATCTCAGGTTAGTGGCTGTGTAGCAGACTAAACAGATATTGGGTATAGTGTGAACATAGCCTTAGTCTCACACATTGGTGAGGGGCGTTGCGTGACGAGACAAAAACAGCTGCGTTGACGAGATCAACACAACACTTAGGGTGTTTTCCATTTGTCTGACCGGCCGGACAAGTCAGTTAGCAACTCAAATCGACTTTTTTCAAAAGGTTTTGCTGAAAAACCATCTCCTTCATGCATAATTTTTAGGATTTTACTGATCTGGCTAGATAGTTTTGATTAAAAGTAAAAATTCTCATTACGAGGGGAATGGTCTGGCCGGTCAGTTCTGACAAATGGAAAGTGCCCTTAGTGTCTTACAATAATTTAATACCTCCCAACTAAAGCGCGTTTTCCGTTTGGAAAGGAATGTGTCACGTGCTGCTTGCTATGTGCAAACCTTCGTAACTCCCAAACAAACCTTACTCGCTTTTGACCAGGTCACGTGTTTTGAAACTACGAAACTCTACGTGCCGTTCGCGCCAAACGAATAATTTTTTTTACACTTATGACGGAAAATACAATAACATGATACGTTTTTTGCATCAAATGGAAACTCAGGAAAAAACCCGAGCCCCAGATGGGTTTCGAACCCACGACCCTCCGTCATTTTGTGCAGTGGGATGCTCAAACCACTGAGCTACTAGCCTGCGAGCAAGCTCTCGTATTTGGGCGAGAGAACGCGCGAGCGAGCGGCGAAGCCGCGAGGGGCCGAGGGCTTTCGCGTCTCCTCTCACGTGCCTCTCGGGCGTCTACTTTTCACGCTATATCCCAAATGGACAGCTTGCTCGCAGGCTACTGAGCTGCCGGAGACTCGATGGCAAAAAGATAGTTAATGATTTGTTTTATTTTTGAGATGTAAGGAAAGACAAAAAAAGTCGTAAGCTCTGTCTCGCAAAAGATTTTTATGTTCTGACTCTGCGGAATGTAAAAGACACACCAGGGACGTAACAAATTTCTGACATTGACCCCCTCTCCCCCCCTCCCCGCATCCCTGTGATCTTGGGTCTCCAAAAGTCCTTGAATTTTCTTCGACTTTGAATTTGTGGTCTGGAAAGAGTTTTTTTATGCTTTTTGGTCGTCTAAGACAGAATATAAATCATAGCTCAGAGAATTGAAAGGCTATTTACACAGAGTGCTCTATGTGTTATGCAGTAATTAAGCATCAATTTAAGACAAGTGAACTGAAAAATGTAGAGAAGTTGGTGAAGCAAACGGTTCAAGCCTTAAAGTCTTATTAGAGTAGACTGGGAATGTGCTTTTTTGTATTATCTGTAAAATTATATTCCTAGTAGGTGGTCCTTGAAACTCTAATGTGGTCTTTGAAAAGTCCTTGAAATATGGTTGCAACTTTTTGTATGAACCCTGGTAGGAAAAGATCTTAATACAGGGATAATCCCGCGGATTCTCCTTTGAGGTGGTGAAACGGGACTTCCCCCCCCCGCCGCCTCCCCGTAATCTTGGGTGGACAATCCGTAGGAAAAGATCTTAATACAGGGATAATCTCCCGGATTTTCCTTCAGGGTGATGAAACGGCTGCCTGTAAACAGACAATGGATGCGAGTTTCTTTTTTATGAGTTTCAGTTTGTTTCATCTTCAGGTTCAAAAAGGAATGGAGACGATAATTTAAAGAAAATTGCCACAGATGTTTTTCGAAACGGAGGATGCGTAGCACCGCACACACTGAACGTCTAAAAATAATTTATTTTCATGTTTTCAATTATTGTACATGAAACTGTATATAATTATTTATAATGTAATGACTGTTTGTACAGGATATATTTTGAAGTTTACAGACAGGGGCCTATGGGCTTCTGGGATAGTACATTCTGTTGACGGCTTTTCCCCTGTATTTCTTTTCTTGAATAATGTGATACAAGGAAACCTTAACGTTTATACCTTTGTTGCGAGTCTAAAATTAACTTCTTTTCCTAGTTAAGTGAAAGGAAGGCTGAAGTGTACAGAGTCAGAATAACCATGAAATAAAATACGTCAGGCATATACAGTTGTAACAAGACGCAGTGGGAGCGTATATTTGGGCGTGGATGTACTAGGCGTGCAAGAAGTTTTTTTTATGTGTATTAGGGATGTGTGAGTAGTGCAGTAGCGTTGTATATTTTAGGGGTTGATTGAGATGCGTGAAGTGGAAGGCGTGGAGTTATATTGGACGTGAATTGGTAAGATAATGGCTGTAGTTTGTTAATCAGTGAAACTCGGTATTTCTCGTAAATTCACGTAGAATTTAATGTGAAGTAACAACAAATAATTATTTGGGAGGTAAAAGTGATCTTAGGTGTTGCAGTGAGGTAGTTGTTTAAGTGCTTATTTGGTTTTGAAGGGATAGTGTAGTTACAGTGCGTTGAAATTAAGTGGTGGCTGTGAAAAGTCTTATCAATAGTCGAAAACATACTTGTACTTATTTTAAACGTTGTTAGACTTTCTGTTAGGATTGTTTTTCGCTTATTTTTGATAATATTTGTTTGGAGAGAACATGGATAGCGCTAAAAGTTTATTTTATATAGAAAAGGAGGTATGAAGATGTTGGGGGTGGGGGGAGGGGGCTGCTCGGGGGCTTTGAAAAATCGGTGAGGTCGAGGGGAGGGCGTAAAATCTGGCTATAGAACTAAGGGCCAGATTACATGAGCCGGGCTGGCTCGCTTTACAGAGATCCCGGCACCTTAGTTAAACGAAGCAAAAATCAACTTTGCGATTGTATGACAACCGAGTCAACCCGGTCAGCCGGGATCCCAGTATTGTGATGCTGGGATCACGGGTGGAAATTTTCCAAGTAATCACGGTTGCCGGGCGGCCCGGCGAATGAACCAAGCGAGAAACAGGACAGCGGATAACACACTTCTCATGCACATTGCTTCCCCTTGCTCATGTGATCAGGCCCTTACTGTGAGTTGTATTGTCACGCAGTTTTGCTCGTAAAAGCTTTGGAATTTGCCGCTTTCGTGGTTCGTGTATGAGAGAAAACGATTTAATTTAATTAACCCAAGGGTTTTAAAAACTATAGAACGCGGTTTGCAGGTGAAGATGTTTGACTCTTCCCCTTTTACGGTTCGACCGTGAAAGGATGCAACTTGTTTACGAGGTCATTTTGCTCAATAAGATTTTAAGAAATCACGTCCTTTCCGAAAATATGCAATGAAATTATGCATCATTCAATGTTACCCCCAGTTATCTCATGCACGAGATCCTTGGTTCTATAGCCACATACCGCGCGACAGACATTCGCGTCGCTTGGCTTGTTAGCACGTATTACGTGCCTATTGCAACTTTGAATCAAAACAAGCCAACTCGATTACTCTATTTGGGCGACGCCCAAATAACAAGTGATGTGCAAGTAGTTGTTTCTCCTCAGATAAGGTCATGCGAAGTAGATGCATTGAATGTGAGCTCGACGCTCTAGTGAAGCGTAAACCTTTTTAGCTGCTTTATTTCATATTACTTTTCTGGTCCCAGGATTATTTGATTTCTTTTTATTGGGCTGCCTCTGGCAAAGCCACAGGGGAACGCCCAATCAAGGAATGCAAAGCAACATTCCAGGGTAGTATAGGAGGTGCTCGTAAGGTCTCTTCTAATTGGTCGCTGGAAACAATGACATGTCATTCTTCCAAACCCCGGTTCCATCTACGTCAAAAAAAGACAAAAATCGCGAACTAATCTCCCAGTAGGCATTGCGTGTCCCGTTTCCCTTGCAGTGGCGCCGAGTTTTGAGGGGAGCCTTGAGAGGATGGGGCATTTCTTATTATTATATACATACTGAGAAATACTCACCAAAAAGCTATGTCGTAAATTTTCGTACGCAAATTAGTTATAGCCAATCAGAGGAGCGAACGATGGTTTTCACACGTGAAAAAAACGATACGTCCAATCAGAATCGCGAACGATGTTTTTTCACGTGTGAGAAAAATGATACGTCCAATCAGAAGCCACAGAGGTGTAGGAGTTTCGCGCCAAAATTCCCGCCTTTTATTGCAGCTTGCAGCGCCGCTTCGCACACATTTATCAACGAGAAAAGTTTTACTCAAGGAGTTTTTTCGCTAAAAAGTGAAAAACATTTCGGAAATGGAGTGGAATAGTTTCGTTTGTTTCACTGTCGATAAAAAAATACGGTAGAGAGCCGGTGAAACAACAGCGGAAAGGGATAAACAGAACGAGACGTAAGCTTTTGTTGTGCTTTTTGTCGGAGCTACTTTGCCTTTCATTTAAGCTTAAGCTTATATTGAAACCGGCCATTTTACTTAAATTCACTCATTTTCAATTGTGCATTGAGAACAAACAGTTAAGATTACTTATAGTTCTTGGATTAAACCTCATATCCTCACCGTCATTTATGTTTTTAACAAACGTTTTTACTAAAAAGCTGATACTTCGTTTTCGTTGTCATTTTGCGGTAAGTGTGTAGCGGCAAATTTTAGCATTTTTGAAAGATTTAAAATAAAAAGGCCCGCAAAATGATGAATGACTCAGTATGTATATAATAAACAAAATACCACATGGAAAGTGCTTTGTACGGTATTTACGCACTCGTTGTTTTTGTATCAGAAATCTTACTCGTTCGCTGCGCTCACTCGTTCGATTTCTGATACGTCAACAACTCGTGCGTAAATACCGTACGCCAGCACTTTCCATGAAGTATTCTCTATTTAAAGGCTTTAAAAGTCCTATACTTACATCGAAAAATTTACAAACAAAATTGATAGCATAGTAAACCCATCGAAACTTCTTGCCCTTCCACTAGAAAAGTTTATCTTGTTATTGAAAATAGAAAACAATAGCAGTAAGATCTAATAGTACATTATTCATTTTTAACACAACTATGCAGATAGATCTTTAAAAAAGATCGTACTGTTATCCCTGATATCAAACAAACTCAATAAATTTAACCGCACGGAATTTTTGCAGCGCGTAGTATACGCTTTTTTGTCTCAGTAAAATCACTAAATTTGTCATATGCCTCTGTCTACCCAGGGTTCAAGAGGGTCTGCCGCAGGCCGAAGCCACACGTAGCAATGCCTTGCGGGTCACTCTGAAGACTTGATTGAAACCGGTAACCGGACCAGTCTCTGGTTCCCAGGGTAGCCTCTGACTCCCTTTGGGAATTCCTTTTTCCAAGCAAACCCCTTCCTACGATGAAATTTGTAGCTTATGTCTTCATCGCTGCCGCTATTTAAACGGGAAAATTAAAACCAGCGAAGTATTCGAGAATCTTTACCCTGGACCGCAGTGCTTCAACTTCCGTTGCAAATTGGTGACCAAAACATTTAAACATCCTGCCTCAACGAGGAACGAACGGAGTGGCTTGTACTTTTTGGTTCTTTGCTGCAAAGCCTTTGCTGGAGAAAATTATAACATTCCAACTTCCATGTGCGATCATCTCACATAAGCGACAGTCTATCCAAAACTCGTAGTACCACCTTTTAAGAAGATAGTTGAATATCTTCCCTTGTTTTAAACCGATCCCGTAAGCATATTGCTTGACACCGCCCAAGACCCCACCGCCAGGTAACCGTTGTAGGGACGTGGACGCAATTGCCAAATCAAAGATGACGTGGGATCCCTTGACAAGCAAAAGTAAATAAGAGAGAGGAGGGGTGGCCTTAAAGTCTTCCTTTCCTTGCATGCTCTTAAGCACTGTAGCCACCCCTAAACCAGATTTTTGCTCTCTTTAACACTGAACGAGAAAAAAAAACTATGATCAATTTGGGCGACGGCATCGTTTGATTACAGGAATTGTTTACAGCGGGACCCGCTGGACCAACCATTACTTCTGTAAAGCATCTTAGGCTACGTAAAAAAGTTAAAACCCTTCCGTGCCAATAGAAAATTTTATTTCCTTCAATTCTTTAAGACTTAAATGTCGATTGTGGTCAAAAAGAAGTATTAACTTGCTCCCCCACCCCCAACCTGGGAAACCCAGGTTATTTTCTAAACTGCGTACCGAAAATAACTTATTTATGCTCTAAACTCGGTAATAATGAAACACACACAAGCAAATACACAATAATGAATTTATTGTATAGGAGGAATAGGTCGGCAGTGCTATAATACGATCTTCTAACAAACACAACTTACATGATACAGAAGTATAAATGATAGGAAAAATACAAACTGAATCTAAACTCACTCGTACAATAATTGAATAAATTAAATTCCGATGTGTAAAGGAACATAAAGACGCGAGTCGACTTTATCGCGAACGTAGCCGTCTTTAGCTGAATCTGACTTCCACCTTCCGTGAACTTTGAAATGCCGTTCTAGAACACTCTGATTAGCAGCGGAAGTAGCTCCTCGGGACCTAAAGCTGTGATTACTAAACTTAGAAGGGTCTAATCCAATAGCTTTCAACTTCTCCTTAAGAATTTCTCCCGCCCTGCCAGCAGTGAGGGGCTTTGAAGACAAGACATTGCCCTTCAAATTCTTGTCGTACCGTAAGGATCTGAAAAATAATGAAATTCTGAGAAAAAGAAGGAATCCTGACAGCTTCTAAGTACTTAATAACGTATGTATTAGGGCAAGTAAAATTGCCAGCCTTGGCAATATAAACCCAGGAACCCTCTCTGTACTTATCAGTCTTGCTAACTTCTATGAAAATCTTATGATAAAGACCTTCAGTTACAATATTAGATCTACTAATGCTTAAAAGCTCGGAAATGCAGAGAAAGCCAGCATATGCGAGTAAACACATACAGACAAACCTGATATCAAGTAAGTTACTACTTTCCCCCTAATGCTCCAAAATTAAGCCAAGGATCTCTGGGGTAATGGGCTCCGCCTTCGTGACAGGTTTACGAGGAGCACGACTGGAAGCCTCAACAATAGGCCTGACAAGAAAGTTGTCACACGGATTGGGATTCTCAAAAACTGATAACTTATGTACCCAGTTAATAGCGTAAAAAACGCCGTAAATGGTGGAACTACCTAACGAATTTTCTAATAAATGATGCAAATACAAAGAAACTGTGAACGAAGTAGCTGGGAGAAAAGAAACCACCCCAGTGCTATGCAAGCACCACGCTTTAAACTTACAAAATGATTTACAATAATTAATAACTGTGTTATCAGCTCGAGAATTAAAGGCAGAGAGCCAAAACTTCTCACAAAGTAAAACAACAAACGTCCGACTGGCAGCTGCTTTAACATCTGAAGCAAAAAATAGAAAAAATAAAATGACAAAAATGACCAAAGAAAAAATATATCAGAAAAATACAACACGTAGTGAAACAAGGTAAGGTTGGGTCCAAGTGGTCCCAAGAAAAACACAGAAAAATAATACCACTAAGGGCCAAAGTGGCCCCTACGTAATAAAAAAGACCAAGTGGTCCACAAAACAAGGATCCAAGTGCATCCCAAAATACTCGGATACCATGTGGTATGAGTGTAAGAACTCTATAAACTGCAGAGAAACCCCCTACAAATCTGAAAAAAAAAAAAGTGGGGGTTAACTAAGGACTCTCTGGGAAAACCGCAAGAACAAAAGACCTGAACGAAAATTAGGTGATCCAAAAAGGGAATTTTATAATTACCCAAAACGAAAACATCAGTACCTAAGGGGATCTCGAAAATATCAGAGAATATAGGAGACAAACCCTCGTCGGTAAAAATTAAAGGCCAAAATGGGGCGGAAGGCCAAGCAGGAACAACAAGTGTAGCGCGACCGCCAAGGGCAACCATGTGATTAAGGACCTTGGGGACGAGAAAAATAGGTGGAACGAGCCAATTATTCTCGCCCGCCCTAGAAACAGAAAAGGCATTAACCGCCTCTGTACCAAGGCACCAAAACCTGCTATTAAAACGGGGCAACTGAGTATTCTCATGATTCGCAAACCGGTCCACAGAATGAGGACCCCATTTCTCTTCGGCCAAAAGGAAATAGTCCCTGTTGACCCGCCAATCATCATAATCCACAATTCTGCTCAAAAAATCGGCCCTATCATTAGCCGATCTCGGAATCCATTCAACTTCCAATGTGATGCAACTGAGCAAGCACATACTAAAAATACGCAAAGCTAAGCATTGCAAATCTTCCTTCATGCTTCCTACTTCAACAAATCTAGCAACACTCTGATTATCAGTATACCACTTAATAGTGTGCCCTTTAAGTAAAGGCAAAAAAGATTCTAGACCCAGGGAAACAGCCTTGAGTTCCCTGTAAGAGGAGCTCTTCTGCGCCTCATCAACACTCCACAACTTGTGAGATATGGTGTTGTGAAGATCTAACATATAACTGGCGCAGCCTGTAGAACTCGCATCGGAATAACACACACAGGAATAATGGAACTGTGTAGACAAGAGGCGCCTACTGTTTAGGAAAGGAATGTTCTCTTTCCAAAAACATAATTCATTCAGAGTTGAAACCGACAGGGAAATTTTTTTTTTTTCCCGTCCCATGTAGGGCTTCTTAAAATATCAAAATGAGAATACCTTGTCATAATACGAGTAATGTTACCAAAGACGAAACCCATTGAGATAATCTTACCGACAAACTGAGCCAATTTTCTAGCAGTACTAGAAGGATACTGAGAACGAATTGAATCAATAACCTGTACGACACTGAGAATCCTAACTGAAGGAATGAAAATAGTATGAACGGCTAACAACCCAAGAAAACCCTAACAAAGTTTGATGTTACTGCAAAATATCAATATGGTGGTAGCCAGATTGAGATCAAATTTACACATGAAATGATCAGAAGGAAGATAAACACAAGCGTTTCTAATATCCTCAAACTTAAACTTTTCTTTCCAAATATGTTTATTGACATGCCTGAGGTCTAAAAACAACCTCTTCTTGCCGCAACTCTGTATGGAAACAGACAAGGGATTGACAACATGAGGAGGACTAGATACTTGAACAACTGAACCTGACAAAATAAGCTCTTGGATAGCCTTCAAAACAAAATCAGCGTGCATAAGTGCTGAATGGTTATTGTCAAAAAACGCATTCTGAGGAAATGTAATAAAGGGTATGGCATACCCCTTGTCAATAACCTGGAGAATGAAATCATTTGCACCTAACGCATCCGCCCAAAAACTAAAATGAGCTTTAAGCCTACCCTTAACCGATAGAATACTATTGGGAGAATTCTCAAATTCAAAACACTCCTCTAAAGCTGGACCTTCGTCAAAAATACCTTCAAGAGTTTCTTTTACTGCTTTACTATCAGCAATGGAACTACTGCTGCCCAGAAGAACCGCTGTCTTTACTTGACAAACTTTGGATCTGTTTGTAGGTTGATCCGGCAGTGAAGAATAAGTTGGGGCAACTTGCTCTCCAATGGCCGGTCTTGCCGCAGGCGAAGCAGATGTCATAACGGCCTTTAACAAAGGCGCCCTTTGACATTTGAGGACGAAAATTAGTAAAATTTCTTGGAGTGATAGAGGAGACAGCCGATGAAAACCCCGAGGAAGTCTCTGGACGCTGAATGACCTGTAAAGAAAAAAGGAAGAAAGAGGAAACTAAGTGACGGTCGATTATAGCCACTGAAATGACCTAAAGTGAGAGCACAACACGTGGTGAACCTATTTAAACACAACCCAACAATAAGCGTGATGAACACGCCTGAATGCGGTACGCATTACGTAACCTCCATTCGCACGCATAATTCCCAACGCACCGAGCATAAATACATTTATTTTCTAAACTGCGTACCGAAAATAACTTATTTATGCTCTAAACTCGGTAATAATGAAACACACACAAGCAAATACACAATAATGAATTTATTGTATAGGAGGAATAGGTCGGCAGTGCTATAATACGACCTCCTAAACGCTAAAGAAAATAAAGAACGGGCAAAGGAAACGAATAAAAGTAACAGAAAAAATACTCAGCTTCTGTCCCGACTTCGCACTGCGAGCGTTCTTCTTCTTTCGCAACGCTCTCTGCTCAGCAGCACGGATCTTCTTTCCGTCTTCAGAACCGGAAGCGACTTCGTCAGAAAGATACTCGTCAACTGCGGCCCAGCCAGCTTCCGATTTATCCGCTATTCTGATGAGCTTGTTTCTTCGCTTTATGGCCTTTGAAGCAGCGTTGAGGGAATCGTCGAGTTTAAGAATCAGCGCTGAAACTTGATGATTCTCAGAGTTTTCAAGATCGACCAGAGATTTCAGCGAATCGACAAAAGAAAGACTATGAGTGACGTGTTCCAAAGTCTCAGTATTAATCGAACTGCTTCTTGTTGCCGCTAAACTTGAAGCTTAAGCTCGTTTCGGTCTTAAGTTTCTTCACCAAGGATGAAGACGATTTGAGTTGATCATCAGAAAGCTCACGCTTTAAATGTGAAAATTTTTTATCAAAGTAAGACCTTAAGTCTTCAAAAGACCCAACAGAGATAACTTTGGGATCCTCCACGCCTTCCTTATCAGACATGATAAGCAAGCAAAAAATTAAGAGACGGTCGATTATAGGCGGTCGATTATAGCCACTGAAATGACCTAAAGTGAGAGCACAACACGTGGTGAACCTATTTAAACACAACCCAACAATAAGCGTGATGAACACGCCTGAATGCGGTACGCATTACGTAACCTCCATTCGCACGCATAATTCCCAACGCACCGAGCATAAATACATGTATTTGATGATGATGTCCGCGGAAAGGACTGAGGGAATTTGATAACAGTGATTGCTATTGGGGTGTAGCACTTGATGGCATATAGGATTAGAAGAGAACTGAAACAAATTGTCTCAATTTCATGTTAAACTATTTTTGGTGTTGTTCAGGTGTAATACCTTGATAAAATTATGGCGGGTATGGAAAATTGAAAAACTTGTGTTTGTTTCTGTTTCTCCTATTTCCCTTGTTGCTGTTACCAAGCAAGTCCCAGGGTTCGGGTATATGGCTGCACATCTGCAACAAAAAAGTCCATTTTAGAGTCAACTCTCGCTTGCGGACATCCCGCTATAAGAGACACCCCGTTAATACGGGCAACAGCTAAATCCCAGGCAACAATAATTAACAATTATTCCTCGAGCCCGAATGGGCTCTGAGTCAATAGCCCATGATGCCGAAGACCGAATGGGCAATTGACTCAGAGGACATGAGGGCGAGAGGAATAATTGTTTTAGTAAAATCCAACTAGTTGGTAAAAAATATCGAGACAAAACAACTTTAGCTAGCAAAACGCGATTCAACTGCCATTGTTTTGGTTTTCAAAGCTCGCGCTATTCGCTTCTAGTGGACTATAAAATACAGCCTAGTAGGAGCTCAACCAATCAGAACGCAACATTGATAATAGACCACTAGTTGGATTTTACTAAATTATTATATACAGACGTTTGACTGAAATAAACTCCCGCTATTACGGACTCTCGCGATTGAGAATACTAACTCAAGGTCCGTACCTTGTCCGCTATAAAGAGAGGTGACTGTACTTCCAAAAAACTCCCACACACACTCATACAGTGTGAGCCACGTCAGAGGTTCAATCACAATGCATATCAGTATCCAGCAGTCAGTTTCGGAGAAAAAGAGGAAGTATCCGACCAACTTCCTTTGCGGAAGGTTCCATCAGTCTAGGCAAGCCCAGAGGGGCGAGTGATTTCGTTTTTATTTTTCACTTTTTCATTTTTGTTTTTAACTTTTTGATTTTCACTTCGCCATCTTGGAGAAATGGAAAAGTGAAAAATAAAAACGAAATCACTATGTGACCCTCTGGGCTTCCGTAGTCTACATCACCTGTTTAAAGATCTTTTTTATAGCTTTTTGTTATTTTGTTCAGAGATACTGTTGACAACTGCAAATTAGATTTCACGCCTCGTATGCTGTATAAATTTTCATGGTTGCCTGCATTTTGGGAGCTATTTCTGGAAGCACTTACGTCACTTTTGTTGACGCTACACGTAACTTGATCAAAGTGAAACCATAGTTAGTGGAGAAGACTGGTTAGGAAACCTGGCAAACACCAAAGATGAAAACATTGGTGCTGTAGGTTATGTTGGAAGCTCCCTAACTGTGCACAGTTCTTTGGGTTATGTTCACAGATTGTGACTGAATAAATTAATGCAATGTTTCTATTGGTCAGTAAGTTTAAAATGATAGGAATGCTATTAAACGTTGTGCATGGTCAGGTTTAAAATAGCTAGCAAAAACCTATAACAAAGGGTTTCCCAGCCATTCCACTTTAATTAACTATGATGAAACTGAAAGCTAAATGAAGGGAAAAATCCCTCATACAGGATTCATCTTTCACTTGGTAAAAGTTTTGATTGATGCTCAGGTTAGTTTTGTGCAGGTCCCGTTCTTTTATTTGTGAAGGAAAATTCAATTGACTTTTTTACATAAACTTGTCTTACAAAGTATCATTTCCTCGTAGACCCTTTTGTCGTCACGAATCAAGGACCCACTGCTGTAGTCTTGCGAACTATCAAGATTCGGGAATTTACAGCTGAGGTATGCATTTAATACGTTAGCTTCAGTTACACCTCGATTGATTAAGAAATGCCTTTGGCTTTAATCGCTGGGATCTTTTCTGACGAGCTTTAGATCAGTCGAATTCGGCACCATCGTTTATATTTCGAGATGGCAAGGCACAAATTTCATCAGCTATCGTACTCTGATCGAAGAAAAATCAAAACGCTCTGCGAGCATACACTTCAGCGTCGTGGTTGTGGATTTATTGTGAATGCGGAGGAATAGTAAGAAACGATATTTTTCCGGATACCCTTCCGTACAAATACTCTTACTTTTCTTCTTTTCTGTAACAGACGAAATCTTAACTTTTTCACCGGAAATCTGCTACAGTCTCAGTCAAAATTGTTGGGACACTTTGCCATTTACAAAGGGAGTTTGCCTTAGATACTTAAGAATCTCATACCTCTGTGATTGCTGTAATCTGTTAATTCTACGCGAGTTAGTTATCCGTGTGTGATCATTTGAGTCGGTTAACTGCAAAACAGTTCCCTTCGATCGTACCTTTCGCTTATTTATGGTCTAAAAGTTTCGTCGTCGGTTATTTAATATTTCTTATTACAAACGATTTGTTTAGAAGAATTTCGTATGCTTTGAATGGTAGTTTTGATCCTTACGTAACAACAAACAAGGAATTGCACACACTTACAATGGAAATCCAGCGTTTCCAAAGAATGAGGTTCTTAAAATCTAGGTTCTACAATGAAATTTGTAGCTTCTGTCTTTATCGCTGTCGCTGCTTAAACCGGAAAATTAAAAACCTGCAAAGTATTCGAGAATCTTTATGCTTCATCTTCCGTTGGAAATTGGTGACCAAAACATTTAAACATCTTGCCTCAGCAAACAAACGGAGTGGCTTGAACTTTTTGGTTCTTTGCTGCGAAGCCTTTGCCGGAGAAAATTATAACAGTCGAACTTCCATGTGCGATCATCTCACATAAGCGACAGTCTATCCAAAACTCGTAGTACCACCTTTTAA